ATGTATGTGCATATTTACCACTAATATTATCTATCTATCTATCTATCTATCTATATATATATATATATATATATGTTGTGCATGTGTGTGTGCGCGAAGATAGGAATCAACACTGCATGACGAAAGCCAATGGCACTCCCTAAACGATCCTCAGTTAACCGCTTGAAGCATAACACGGGCTATCAATATGCTGCATTGATTCCTTTGTCCACACTCTATATCTAAAACATTCTATCACCGACAATGAGCACTGATGACCAACTTAAATAGATAATTCATATATATATATATAAATTCGTGCCTCTTGTGCCAGCATTAAGTATATTCTTATATAAGTATTAAATAGAAACATACCTGTACTAAACCATGTAAAAATCTCAGGCTGGTTAGAATGATTTTTTAGACATAGCTTAGATGTGTCACATGGCCGAAAGTATGGGACACACAGTAAGGATCGAACTCACTATTTAGTCGTAATTGATTTAGCAAGACAAACTTGCTGTCCATGACACCGCCTCGAAGCGCTCCATTCAGGCATATTATATCTAGCTATCTTTACATCTATCACCTTTTATATTTTTATCTATCTATCTATCTATCTATCTATCTATCTATCTATCTATCTCCGAGTATTCTTCTTTCTTTCTTTCTTTCTTTCTTTCTTTCTATCTATCTATCTATCTATCTATATCAGAGTATTCTTATATATATCACAGTAATATTTGTCTAACTCATATATCATCCTATCTAATCTATCTTCTATCTATCTATCTATCATCTATCTATCTATCTATCTATCTCAGTGTATCTATCTATCTATCTATTCATATCTATCTATCTATCTATCTATCTATCTATCTATCTATCTCAGTGTAGTCATATCTATCTATATCTGTGTATTCATATCTATCTATCTATCTATCTATCTATCTATCTATCTATATCAGAGTATTCTTATATATATCACAGTAATATCTGTCTATCTCAGTCTTTATATCTATCTATCTATCTATCTATCTATCTATCTATCTATCTATCTATCTCAGAGTATTCTTATATATATCACAGTAATATCTATCTATCTATCTATCTATCTATCTATCTATCTATCTATCTATCTATCTATCTATATTCTTGCTTTCATATCTCCCCCTCTTTCTGTACACACACACACACACACACACACACATATATATATATATATATATATATATATATATAAATCTGCCTGTCTATCTGTGTAAATAATTGTGTTATTGAGGTTAGACAGGCTCCCTTCCAGATAAATTTATTAAGAAATATAAACACGAATTACGAATCAAATAGATATTCCTACAGCCGTGTAGGCTCTGTCCACTTCCATAGTCTCTAGCCATGCATAAAACGGCATTTGATTGGCCAGTCCCACAGCAATGCAGTGGTGTCACGTGATCCTTCGGCTTTGCACTGATTGGTGGATGGAGAGAGGTCATAGTCGGAGACCTCTAAACCGGACGGAAACGATAAAACTAACTCGTAATCGAGGAATGGGAGTATGGGTAAGTTTCTCTGGAAGTTGCAGGATCGATAGGATAGTTGGATTAGGACGAGGAAGGAAAGAAGGAAGGAAGAGTGGATGTAGGGAGAAAAGAAGGGAAGACATATTTGATGGATGGGTGGAAGGACGAAAGGGCGCGAAAGGCAGGAGGCGTGGGAAGAGGAACAAAGAAAGAAATTAGGAGATTTAAGGCAGTCGGGAATATTATCAATAAACAGAGAAAAAAATTTAGAAATTAAAAAAAATATGATTAGTCTGTTTTTTGGGGTTTTTTTTGTGATAGGATAAACGAAAAATGGAGAATTACTTAGAAAAATAAAAGTAAATTACTTAGAAAAATAAGTAAATATATGACTAAGTAAATAAAGAAGAAAACGTGAATGAGGAGGAAGAATAAAAATAAATGAATAAGAAAATGAATGAAATAAATAATGAGCAAAAATGTACGGAACGAAAAGAATGAAAAAAAATGGGAGGATGAAAAAAATAAATAAAGATAGAATTCATCGAACATGAATGAAATGAAAAACGAAGGAAAAGTAAGAAGGAAAAATAAATGAATGACAGATATGTATATATAAGGAAAAAAAATGAATGAAAGAAAATGATAGAAAGAAAAAGAAAAAGAAACATGAATATAAAAGCAAGGCATAAAGAAAGAATGACAGAAAAAAATAAATGAGAAAGAAGGAATAAAAGAACGGATGAATGAAAGAAATATAGAAAAATTGTTTATGTAAGAAAAACTCAAAAGAAAAATGGTAAATAGATAAGGAAATAAATAATTCAGAATGGGTGAAAAAGAAGGTAAATGAATGTATAGGGTAGAAAGAAAGAAAGTGAGAAAGAAAGATAATAAGAAAGAAAGAGTATAAGTAAGTAAGTAAGAAAGAAAGATAGAAAGAATGAGGGAAAGAAAAAAGGAAAAAGTACGGAAAGTGGATAAGAAAGAGAGAAATAAAGAGGGAATAAAGAGAGAAAGAATGAAAGAAAGAAAGAGAATAAAGAAAAGGTGAAAGAAAGAGAATGAGGAAAAGAGAGAGAAAGAAAAAAAAAGAATGAAAGAGAGAAAGAAAAAAAGGAAAGAAGAAAAAGAGAAAGACAGAGAAAAGCTAAGAAATAGTGAAAGAGAGAATGAATGAAAGACAAATAAAGAGAAAGAGAGAAAGAAAGAAACAGAGAAACAGAGAAAGAAATAGAGAAAGAAAGAAATGAGCTGCTTTCACTGGTTCCCAGACTCCATGAATTCAAGCGCCCCACGAGGCTGGCATCACGCTCTCACCCTTTCACTGTAGAAACTGTTAAATGTAGCCGTCTCTTCTACTCCAATAGCTTCATACCTCACACCTCTCGCCTGTGGAATACCCTTCCCACTTACTGTTTCCTTGAGAGCTATAATCTCCAATTATTCAAATGTAATGTCAATCGACACCTCCAGTTACCTTGATCTACCCACTATCCCTCTCCTCATCCTTTCTTCTGTCACTCCTATCTGCTCTCGCTCCAAATCTTCTGCAATCCCCTGCATCTTAGTGGCTTCACGCCTTGCTCGGGGCGTAATGCTTAAAAAAAAAATTTAAAAAAAAAGAAAGTAAGGAAGATGATAAGAAAGAAAGAAAGAAATGGGAAGAAAGAGAAACAGAATGAAAGCGAGAATGAGAGAAATAAAGGAAGGAAAGATAGAAAGACAGAAAGAAAGATTATAAGAATGAAAGAGAGAAAGAAGGAAAGAAAGTGGGAAAAGGAGAAAGGAAGTAAGAGAGAAACAAATCGAAAAGAAAGAATAAAGTAGAAAAGAAAGACAGAGAAAAGAAGGAAAGCGAGAAATAAATAGAAAAGAAAGAAAAAGATAAAGAAAGAAAGAAATTGAAAACAAAGACATAGAAAAGAAGGAAAGAAGGAATTAATTGGAAATGAATCAATAAGAAAGAAAGGAAAATGTTATATTAAAGAAATAAAGATATATTTTTGACTTTTTTAGAAATGGAAAATGAATAGCAAATTTATATAAGAAAGAAAGAATGATAGTAAGAAAGAAAGAAAGTAAGAAAGAAAAAAAGAAAGAGAAAATAAAGGAAGGAAGAAAGAAAGAAAGAAAGAAAGACAAAAGAAAGGAAGAATGAAAAAGAGAAAAAGAAATGTAGAAATAAAGAATATGAATATATATCTATGATAGAAAAGATTGTAAAGTCATAATTAGGAAATAGATAAATGAAAATAAAAGAAAGAAAGAAAAAGAGAAAGAAAAATGTAAAGAGAGAGAGAGAGAGAGAGAGACAGCGAGATAAATAGTAAGTAGTAAAAAATAGTAAAAGCCTATACCAGGTATTGAACTCACACTCTTTGGGTCCTGTCACTGGATCTAACTAAGGCCTTTTATCCACTGTGCCATGTGTCCTTGACGACACATGTCACAGTAGAAAAACATAAAGAGGGGAATTAACAAGTGATAACTGATAATGGACATCCATTAGACAAGGCACGGGGAACTAGAATGGTCTACACCAGTGAGCGAAATAAAGAGTTCAGTTCGAAATTCCAATCACCTGAAGAAGGCCGAAACGCTGTAATAAATATGGCGACAAAGATGAGGACAATAGTCCGAATAATATAAATAATGTACATAATACCTAATCTCAGAAATATAGACAGATACTGAAGGTCCGAAACGTTGTAATACATATGGCGACAAAGATGAGGACAATAGTCCGAATAATGTAATAGTGTAATAAAACAAAACGAAAGGAAACAGGAATATAGAAACGAAAAAGACAAGTTTAGAGAATTATAAAGAAAAAAAATAAAACGTAATAAATCCCAATGAAAAAAAGAAGAATAAAGAAGAAAAGAAAAAGGCAATTTTAGAGAGTAAAAAGATATATGAAATAGCAATTTAAAGAAAAAGTTTTTGAAAAAATAAAATAAATTTGTTGTATCATCGTGGGTAATTATATACAGAGAACAATGAATGTTTAATCTATCTGTTCAGCACCAGTATCCGATGCCACCGGATACATACATTAAATACAGAACAATAAGTTACAAAACAATTAACAAGACAACTTACAAAGAAATGAAGGAGAGTCAAATGCTATATAGCCAAACAATGTAAGATCAGTCCGAATATTAATCACACTTATTAATCAACGTATTAATCAACTGTTAAGTCCTTAATCGTAGACTATTTAAGCCTATGAGCCCGGCGATCTGGTAGGGGCAGTGGATACTCTGTAACCTTATTGAAAACCAACAAAATCTTAGGGGAAAAAGAAGAAAAAAAGAAAAGAATTGGAAAGCAAAAAATAAATAAATAAATAAACGAATCTGGCAATTCAAACTATAAAAAAACTAATTATTTCCCGTCACCTTAAAATACTTTAGATGTAGCCGCAAGTTCTATGCTAATAGTTTCTTCTGTAACACTTATCACTTGGGGAAATCACTTCCGTTTTCTTGATCCACAGTCAACTTTGATCTCCATAATTAAATGCAATATCAATCGTTCCCTTCAGTCTTCAGAATAATTTTCCTTTTATATCTGTTGTGTTGTCGAGGTGAACGATACACAGGGAAAATGAGCGCTTAATATATTTCTTCAGCACCAGTATCAGGTGTTAACGGATACATACAAAATACTCAGAACAATAAGTTACAAAACAATTAACAAGACAACTTATAAGGAATAGAGGAGGGTCAAATTCTGTATAGCCAAATGAAGTAAGATCAGTTCAAATATTAATCAGCTTAGTATCAACTTATTAATCAACTTATTAATCAACTATTGAAGCCCTTAATCGTAGACGATTTAAGCCTATGAGCCCGGCCACCTGGTACAGTGCTGAAGGGAGTCTAGATATTCTACAACATTATTAAATCAGCTTAGTATCAACTTATTAATCAAATGTTGAAGTCTTTACTAGTAGACTATTTGAGGTTATGAGACAGGCCACCTGGTAGAGTGTTGAAGGGGTGTTAGCTACTTTACAACATTATTAAAAACTAATATAGGGAAAAAAAAGAAGGAAAAAAACAAAACAAAATAATTCGAGAGCAAAAATTAAAGATAAAAGCGAGGCTGAAAATTCAAACTGTAAACAGTAATTAATCTCCACCCGATGAAAATAATCATTAATTTTCCGAATCCACATTGTAGCTGAAGCACTTCCATTTACATTATTCGGACTACTGTCGCCATATTTATTACGTTTCGGCCGTTATACGCTCCGGCCTTCTTCAGTAATAAGGAGTGCTAGAGAAAAGCGATAATAAAAACAAAAATTGCAATATGAGCTCTGGTAAAAACATACAATGATAACAGCAAAAACTGCAATATGAGCACTGGTAAAAAACATTAGGTTTATAATTTCCAGAAATTCATACACAGATACCCTCAAGGTCACAGGGGATAAAGGCATGAGTTAGATCCAGTTACAGGACCCAAAGGCGTTGGAGAACATAGAGAGAGAGGAAATTAATCAGGAGATAACTGATACTTGACATCCATTAGAAATGGCACGTGGAACAGTCTACCCCAGTGAGCGAAATAAATAGTTCAGTTCGACATTCTAACCACCAGAAGAAGGCCGGAACGTACGGCCGAAACGTTGTGATAAACATGGCGACAAAGATGAGTACAGTAGTTCGAATAATGTAAATAGTGTACATAATACCTCATCTCAGAAATGTAGACAGATACTGAAGGGCCGAAACGTTGTAATAAATATGGCGACAAAGATGAGGACAATAGTTCGAATAATGTAAATAGTGTACATAATACCACATCTCAGAAATATAGACAGATACTGAAGGTCTGAAACATTGTAATAAATATGGCAACAAAGATGAGGACAATAGTCCGAAAAATGTAAATAGTGTACATAATACCTCATCTCAGAAATATAGACAGATACTGAAAGACCGAAACGTTGTAATAAATATAGTGACAAAGATGAGGACAATAATCCGAATAATGTAAATAGTGTACATAATACCTCATCTGAGAAATATAGACAGATACTGAAAGGCCGAAACGTTGTAATAAATATGGCAACAAAGATGAGGACAATAATCCGAATAATGTAAATAGTGTACATAATACCTCATCCCAGAAATATAAACAAATACTGAATCAGTTCTGTTCACCTCGCACTAATGCTCTTGAGAAAAGGTATACATCCATCTTCTCCCAGCTTTAGTTTATTGTTGAAAAACATGGATGTAACCGTGAGTTCTATTTTCTGGCAGTTGTCGCCTAATGTATTCTCTTCCAGGTTTTTGCACACTACGTTCATCAAGAATATAAATGCAATGTCAATCACCATTTTCTGTCATCGTGGCTCTTTTTCTTTTATTGTTCTTTCTCCTCACTCAGGTCTTGTAATTGTCTCTTACCCCTCCCCCAGTACCCCCTCTTTGCGTCTTAGTGGCATTATCGCCTTGCTCGGGATTTTAAAAAAATGCAACGTATCCAGCTGGAATTCGATATTGGCTCTCTGGTGGAATAAAAAGGGAATACATTTCTGTGTACTTGGTAATGCAGTGTACTAGCTGGAAAATGATCTTCATTTTAGTTGTATGAACGATTAATCAGAAACTGGATTTACAAAAAAAAAAAAAAGAAAAAAAAAGAAAATTGAGCTCGACCCAACAATGTTTAGTTCAAAACAGAATATAATCCAGAAGATTTTTTTTTTATCAATGGAGTGAAGGCCGCTTACTCGGAGAAACAAAAAAAAAAGCTCGGAATGACGAGAGACAAACCTTTACGTCGATATAAATTGAACCGATATAACTTGTTTCAGGACGGATCTGTTCATCCGTCCAACCATTTCTGATATATTACCGACCTTTATAGAACGACGAACCCTACCCTAGTCGAGTATCGCGCGCAAATTTTCGCGGTTGTTTCCACAGCGGTCTTGTTCTACCCGACGTTTAAAGATAGAAAGCATAGGAGTGGGCATGTAAAGAAGAGTATACTGTATAGTAATGCGTTAATCTGACACAAACTCTTCTGAAAGGATACCAGTCTCGCTATGCTGATACACAAAGAGGCTTTGAGTTTGGAAACGAAGAGGGGGTAGGTGGCCCTCTAAAGAAATATCCTCAACGCTTGCAAGAAAAAAATTCCATTTGGATTAGGGGGAGGAGCACGTTGAAAATTAGAGCGTGAAAAATTGCGAGTAAAATTTTAAAACATACATTAATTCACATACGCGCGGACACACAGACACTCTCTGTCTCTTTCTCCTCGATCTTTCTCTCACAGATATATACACCATTGATAAACAAATAAAAATTATTTTTACAAAAAAAAAAATACACGACGCCAGCAATAAAAGTACCAAAGAACATAACATCAACTTCAACCAGAGGCACCAAAATTATACGAAGAAATTATTAAACACCATATTTCTGTTGTAATTCACGAAAAAATAAGCAGTCCTGGGTATGACGATAAACTACATCCGAGAGCAAATCCTTTTGAGAAGCGTAGAAACCACCTGATAATTGCTGGTGGTAATACCAATCAGGGTCCCAGCTGAGCGCAAATAGTTACCCCCCCCGCAAAAAAATAGGTAAAAACACTATGAATGTACAAAAATAGTTTTTAATACCAGCAATACTTTTTGGGAAATTTTTTTTTACCAGCAATACATTCTTGAAAAAAAAAAATTATCCAGCGATATATTTTCGAATATATATATATATATATATATATATATATATTACCGACAATAAAAATCTTGTCGGCATTAAATAACCCATTGATGTTGATATGCCATAAAAAAATAAACCCAGACTCTGATCTACAAAATGATTTCTTACAAAGAATACATATTCTGTTTATACGAGGTTTTTCTAAAAATCTTGTCGGCATTAAATAAACTATTGACGTTGATATACCCCCCCACAAAAAAAAAAAAAAAAAATAAACATAAACCCTGATCTACAAAATAATTTCTTGTAAAGATTACATATTCTCATTATTTGAACCTATCCTAAAAATTTTGTTGCTATTAAATAACCCACTGAGGTTTATATGCTACAAAACAAAATAAATCCAAACCCTGATATACAAAATAATTTCTTACAAAGAATACATATTCTATTCATATGAACATATTCTAAAAATCTTGTCGGCATTAAATAACCCATTGAGGTGTTGATATGCCATAAAACAAAATAAACTCAAACCCTAATCTACAAAATAATTTCTTACAAAGAATACATATTCTACTCATAGGACCTTTTCTAAAAAAAAACTTGTCGGCATTTAATAACCCATTGTGGTTGATATACCATAAAACATAAGAAACAAACGAAAAATATGTAAAACATAATATATTACAGGAAATAAAAAAGGGAAAAACCTTGTGACTAATCAAAATAACCCATTCAATTCTAAACTAGCGATGACCAATATAGAATACTAATTTTTCTGCCCAGTACAAGAGAGTGTTTCTTGCCACAAAGCAATTACTTATATCGCCTATATTATCACATCTTAAGTTGAAGCCTCATGTGTCACTCATCAAATGAAAGTGGTATGAAAAAATCCTCCATATAATATATATATATATATATATATATATATATATATATATATATATATATACACTAAAATTCTATATCAGTCAGATTTTCGAAACATATCTCTATTAGAGAGGCCCTGTATATTATTAAACATCTCTCTCCTACTATCAACCTCACCTTATTTAACAGTGGAAATGGTGTGTGAAAAGTTAAAAAAAAAAAGCTAAAAAAAAAAAACGCAAAGATATTCATGCGAATTCCAGCCGCGCTCAACATGCGAAGGTTCAGAATAAACGCTCATATTTCAACCAACGCAAAAAGAAAATACAACTTAAACAATCAAAGCATGTGGAAAAACTAACACTAAAAACAAAACCCCTTAAATATAGCAAAAAAAAGTGGGGGTCGAAAGCGCTTGGCACAATGAAAATTATGGAAAGATTCAGTAAGGTACAATAGAAAATTTCCATAAATTTCTCCTACAAAAGGGAAAAACGTAAACAAAGGGGTGTGGGGGGGACTGCAATAGGAAAGCGTCTGGTTAGCACAATCCAAATTACTGCTTTTAAACAACAGATTTCCCACGAACTTTATCGAACGATCATATCTGCTCGAAGCGTATCTTAACGTAAAATAATGGCAATCCGTATATTATGAAATCGAAAATTGTTTTAATATATTTTAATTATCAAATATATTTTCTGTACATACGTTATTTTTATAGATACAATTATTTAAGTAAACGCTCTGTTTATAATAAACAGTTTTAATTATATTTACTGGCCTGTAATTTGAAATTTTGATAACCAGACGCTTCCTCTGTAGCTGATTGGTATAGCACGTCAGATCAAATGCCAGTTCTGTGCAAGACACAGGTTATATTCCTGTCGCAGGACATATTTTCTACGAAGTTTCTCGGGCATTCTTGCTGTCAGATGTAATTAATACTGTTTATTATAACGGGAGCATTTAGTTAATTGTATCTATAAAAAAATAACATATAAACAGAAAATATATTAAAAATATTTATCAGAGCTGCTGTATGAACATACATACATATATACATACTGATTGATCTTATCTTCAGCATGACGACTCCAGAGTTTCGTAAACAGTCACTCCGGGAATCACACCATCCACTTATCAGGGGATATCAGCAACTGACTACTTCTTGATTTTTTATAGTGTATGTACGCTCTCGTACCCGTACGGACATGCCAGCTCACTTGCCCGTCTGCGCGTATGCGTGTACGTGATACGTGTATAATGACGTGGTTATTTTTACATTTTTAAACTTTACACTCATCAGTCATTTTTTTTCCTCTTCTTCTGATTTTCATTTCACTTGTACGCAATTTGATTTCCGGCTTTCCAAAGAGATTCTAGTGTTTTTAAGTGCTTTCTTGAGTTAGGAATATAATATTTAAAAGAATACTTCTTCACGGCAGCGAACGTTGGACGATTTCTTCAAAGATAAAGAAGAGACTCGAGTCGACGGAGATGTGGTTCTACAGAAGCATGCTGGGGATATCATAGACCGAGCGTGGGAGAAACGATGGGATCTTAAAGTAGATACAAACGAGAAGTCTGTCCCCCTTTACAACAGAGAAAGTTGAACTATTTCCTCAAAGATGAAGAAGAGACTCAAGGCGATAGAGATGTGGTTCTACAGAAGGATGCTAAGGATATCATGAACCGAGCGTGTGAGCAACTGTCAGGTCTTAGCGAGGTTGCAAACAAGGCTTATACTCAACATCAAGAAGAGGGAGCTGAAGTTTATAGGACACCTAATGAAGAAGAATGGCCTGGAGAATCTGATACTCACAGGTCGAATAGGGGGAAAGACAGACAAGGGAAAACAACGCTTGGCATACCTGGCGGTGTTAAGCAAGTGGGTGACAGCACGTCGCCTGGAGGAAGTACCAAAGGAACAAAACTTATTGAAAGCTACAAGGGATAGGAGACAGTGGAGATCCATGATCGCCTACGTCCTGAAGGAACACGGCACATAAAAAGAGCGTTAGTTCCTTGAGACAAGGGGAAACAACTCGTGGCATACCTAGCGGACTTAAGCAAGTGGATGACAGAACGTGGTCTAGGGGAGGAAGCTGAGGGAAGGAACTTGTTGAGAGCTGCAAGGGATAGAATGAGGTGGAGAGCCATGATCGCCTACGTCCTGGAAAGACATCGCAAATAAAAAGAAAAAGAAAATTGTTTAATATATGACTTTTCATCTTTTATAAGCTATTAATATATAAGATAGTGGTAGCCAAACTTGCTTAATATAAGACCCACATACAATAAAGTTCACATGCCTGAAAGCCGTAAGATATGAACAAAATTTACATACGTTTTTCTTACATACACAATAGCATTAAACTTACGTCTTAATCAAATTAGGGGTCAATTTATACCCAGTAAATAATTATAGGGCTTGAAATTTTTCTTATTTATAACTTATTTTATATATATATATGTTTATGTTCATACATTCATTTAAACATATATAAAAAAGAATGTATAAACATATATATATATATTTTATGTTTATACATTCTTTTAAATATATATATATATATATATATATATATATATATGTTTATACATTCTTTTTGTTTATAGATACAAATATTTAAGTAAATGCTGTTTATAATAAACAGTATTAACAACATTTATCGGCCTTAATGTCCGAGAAATTGTCATAGAAAATATGCGTCCTCCGACAGGAATCGAACCTGTATCTTCAATGTCTGTATATTCAATATCTGACTACTTTCATAAGCCATTAATATATAAGATAGTGGTAGCCAAACTTGCTTAATATAAGACCCACATACGATAAAGTTCACATGCCTGAAAGCCGTAAGATATGAACAAAAATTTACACATAGGTTTTTCTTACATACACAATAACATTAAACTTACGTTTTATTCAAACAGAGCATTTACTCAAATATTTGTATCTATAAAAAGAATGTATAAACATAAAAAATGTCTTAAAATAATTGTCGGACTTTGTCTATTTCATAATATATATATATATATATATATATATATATATATATATATATATATATATATATAGAGAGAGAGAGAGAGAGAGAGAGATAACTAGACTCGTTTCGAAAAACCTTCGAATTTTTTGGTTTGCTAATAATCAAATCAATCTGGAGGGAAAAAAAGGTTTTAAAAAAAGAAAGAGCTACAAACATGGACTTCTGCCGACAAAAAAATCGCACAGATGCAGGTCTGAAGCTCAAAGAAAAAAATCCAGATACGAGTAACAACTAACAAAAGAGCTCAATACAACCGTAGAGCAGACCTAGATACACCTTAGTGAGACAGACCTACCTAGGTTTCACCTAAACGGATCGTCAGGGAAAGTTTGGCGCCAAACTTTTCCTGACGATCCGTTTAGGTGAAACCT